AAAACTGCTATAATCTGTGAAATGCCAAGGAATACTTTCTTGTACTAGATGAGAAATCAAACATCCTCTTGATCAAGCACCAAACTGAACAGTCCTTCGTCTTCCCCTTCTCACCACTTGGTCACGGACAAACGAACCCATCCGACCACCTTAAAATGTTGAGAGCCTGCTACCCGGGTTTTTGGCCCCTGAAGGACTTGGAGCTGATGCGGGGTGATGTTCTGGCTACAGAACCGTGGGAGAGAGGGAACCGGGTGCGCAGCAAGGCGGGCAGGAGCCCGGAACACACTCCCGGGGAACAGTCCTGTGGAAGAGATCACGGTGTAGTTGGAGCGGCGCGGACTTGGCCAGAATGAAGAGCAAGGGCTAGACCTTCTCTGGAAGTCTTTCCTCAGCCTGGAATCCCTTGAAAACATTCACTCAACTAAGACAAAGAACCTACTACACACAATGCAAGGCACGGGAACCAAAGACAAGCACTGTCCCTAACTAGCGACTTCCCTAATTCCAGGGAAGACGTGGGAAGAGGTGAGAGAGAATTCAGTCTCACAGGTAATTCCCCCCGCAGTTGACTACCTGGGTGTATGGAATTGTGGTCTCACTCATCCTTCAAAGGGTTAAATGCAAGGAACAATGTCCCCCAAGCAGGTGTTCAGGTACAGAGGGGGCACCTGCTCAGGAGACCCCATAGAAGTGGACCTATCACAACAGGTGGCACAACCCAAGTTCCAGGAAAGGGGGGGGGCTTCTAGTGGCTCTTGACGCCCATGCAAGCTCTGGACGTGACGTGGGAAAACGGAGTTTCAGGGAAATGCATGGACCTACCCTCCTCCACCAAAGAAAAGTGAAATAGAAGCTGCTGCTTGTCTCCCAGTCCTTTCGTTCCTAACAATCCCCTAGGTAACTTGACGTGTACGGGCTGCCAGCCCATTCACGTGACAAGGCCTCTGCGTACGGCAGCTCCTCCTGGGCCTCATCCTTGTCTCGTCACCTGCCTCCAGAAGCCTGGCCTTGGGCGTGACAGCACCACAAGCGACAGCAGGGACGCCAGGGTGTCTCCGCCGCTGCTCTGAGGGCCTGGCCCTCCGCACAGCGGCACCACACGCTGGTGAGACAAAGGCACTCTTTCTGCAGGGTCTGGTGAGCAACCTCGAGTCAGGATCCACGGGTCTCCAAGGAACTGCTCCGCACTTGCTTTTATATGGTTTTTCGAAATGCTCGGCATGCAGAGAGCAGCTCAGCCTTTCAGGGTTCAAGTCAGTAGAGGCTCAGGGAGGTGGTCTCAAAAGTTAGCGTCACAGCCAGGACTAGAATATACATATATATTCTTTCCACTCTTTGTATCAGCTTTGTTTTTAATCTCCCTACACCGGCCTGCCAGCCATCACCTGCTGTGTATTAATTGTGGCAAGACAGTGTGCTCTAGCAGCAGGGCAGTAGGATAAAGCACGGCCTGGGGACAACAGACATTCCAAACTGGTGACTAACGAGGAGTGCAGAAGAGAAAGGAGAGTGCCACGAAGTGGGCAGAAAATAAACCATGGGACGTCTCAAGGCACAAGGGCCACTTGGGCAGTGAGTAGTACCTCAAAGAACACACCAGGTCTTGACAGATGGGGAAAGAGCATTCCAGCAGAGGGAACGTGAGTGAAAACACAGAGGCAAAAAACCAGGGGCACGCACGGGCACAGTGGTTTTCCACGTGGTTCAAGTCCAATGGACGGTAGGCACGGCTGGAGCGATGGACTCGGAGTCCGTCATAGCCTTAGATGCAGACTAAGGTGGGCGGGACCCAGTACGGCAGTTCTTGCAGACAGACCAATCAATACAGGTTCCTCCTTCGTGGGAGAGCAGCTCGCTCTGCCCCCTTCCCCTCAGCTGACACCCCCAGCCAGAGTCCGAATTTCCTGTGCTTATTTGGGGGCGGAGGGGGGTGGTGATGGTGGGGGGGGATACTTACCTTTTCCTTCATCTTAGAGGAGTATAGTACCCACTAGAAACTCCCATCTTCAAGGGCCCCAATTCAACCCAACACGTTAAGTTTTTAGGTTGTGCTAGGCAGGCACTGGAAACGGGATGACAGGACAATCGAGTCGTGCCTCCACGTTGAGGCTGCTAGTCGACAGTGATTCTGAAAAGCTTCCAGAGCCTCATCTGCGGTCTACCAGCAAGCCCACAGCTGGGACAGTGAGGTGTTACGGCAGGGGAGTTGGCGGTGCGAGTGCCGTTACTGCCCGGGGTTGAAGGGAGTCACCACAGGGCTGACCCAGAAGAAAACATGGTCTCGCATATGCCTTTTTTGTTTTCGGCTGCGTCTCATTGGCCTAGGGAGTCTCTCTCTATTCAAAACACGAAATTATGTCCATAGAGAACAAGAGGTATGAAGAGTAAAAAAGCCAAATGATTTTTTATAAAAGACAAAATGACTTTAATCAAGTCACTGATAGTAGGTAAAATGAAGCTTCTTTCAGAAAGTTACCTTTCTTGGGTAAATAAACTCTTTAGAAAAATTATTTCTAGGGAAAGAGATTAGTATTACCTACCCTAGTAAATGATCGGCCCAAATTATTTTTTTAATGTAGTGCTTACATATCAAATAAGTAGTTTGCTTAACTCAAAAATTTTTTCCACATTCTCCACATTATTCCTACCTCATTCAAAGGTGTCCACACCATGCTCTTGGGGTGTGTAAGGGTGTCCTGGGGATAGTTTGTAAGCTAAAAAATTGGGTGTTCCCATTATGCACTTCAGAGCATTGAATTTAAAACTTATCCCATGAATTTAAAATTCATACTATTACATATTTTAATGGTTCAATTTTCCAATACTTAGTCCATCACAGCATTTTCAGCACTAATGACACTTAAAATGAATGAAGGGGCTTCTCTTGCTCCCGAGCCCGCTGGGAAGAGACAAGAGGCCCACCCCGTGTGATTCTTGTGTGTGTGTCCATCAGTACAGAGGTCTCAGAACGAAAAAACCAAAAAGCCAAGCCAGCTCAAGAACCAAATTCAACTTTCAAGTCAAACACAGCAGGGACCTCAGCCGCCTCCAACTGAAGTTTGAAAAACTGAACTGAATACACATCTTTAACTTCTGTAATTAGACTTGAAAATGAACCAAGACAAAACCCGTAATGCTTTTCAGCCCTCTAGGTAATGTTGCCAAAGTGTGTCCATGTCTCTTTGTCTGGGTCTCAGTGTCCCAATCAGTCTGTTGGCTAAACGCACTTCTCTAGAACTGATGAGACTTACTTTAGTGTAAATGACTAGTCATTTGGGCAAAGAGCAGCTGGTGTGTGATTGGAAGGAACCATGATTGCTCACTTTCTAAGCGTTGAAACATACTGAAGTGCTTCCAAATTACTATTTGGTCTCCTCCCCCAGGAAGGCCATCTCCAGAGACCTCATTCTCACACTGGACTGGCCCTGGGAACCCATGGGAGGAGACCAAACTATCCCGCAGCCATAGTTGGGAACACGCTGGAGCCACACCTGGAACCTGGCCCAGGGAGAACTGGGGATGGGCGGGGCTCCTGGTGATAACCAACTCACAGCTACAACAGCATTAATGAAAAGCAGTATTAGAGCGATTTAAAACAATTCAAAATGAATTACATTGTCAAATAAAGGCTCAGTCAAGTCGCTGGGAGAAGGGTCTTTTGTTTATCACAAACTTAGTCACTTTATTTTTGACCCAAGATTATCCTCTTATGCTAGTTTCTACCAACAGAACCAGCGCCCAATCTCAAATCTCAGCCCCCCTTGACAAAGTAAATGACTTCTGCGTTAACAGGCTGTCACCTCCAAAGGTCTCCCCCTCCAGGTTGTCCCCACTTCATCCATTTGGATATTTGCACAAAAGACCTATCTGTTGTCTTCAAAGTGACCCGATTTGATGTTTAGGCAGAAAAGTAAATCCCATGCTATGATTCTTCTACAAGTGATTTTACATTTTTTTTTTCCAAAAAGGTAGCTGCCAACTTAATGTCATGACACACAGGGGGTGAAAATTCAAGGTTAACCTCCATGAGCTCCAGGGGATGTTGCCTGAAACTTCACATTTTGCTTCATTTCACTGTAACTATTCAAGAAGTTGTTTTTTAACCCCAAAGAGCAGAAGGGTAACCTGTAACTCTGCGGCTCACAACGCCAGCACTGGCTGTGGAGTCCGTTACAGGTAAGACAACGGGAAGTTCAAGTTCTGTGATTCCAGCACTTTAGGGAGATGTGAAACGTATGCTGGGCTGGGCAGGGAGAACTCGTGAAGCTAAGAAGTGCTTGATCACCTATAATGGAAGAGGTTCAAGATCATGCACACTTCTGCGTTACAGCCTACACAAGTCACAAGCCCACAGAGCAGTAACTGACAGCTAGCCAAAGTAAAAGAGAGTTCGAAGTAGCCTGGGGAAATCTTAATTAATTGGCCTGGAAAACTGGGTCAGAATTACTCATGAAGCTCCTCATCCTTTCCCAGAAGAGTATGTGACAGTGTGTCTTTTATATGGAAATCTTTGTACATATGTATAGACTTGGTATGGCCTTAATGCTGCAGTTAAGGATTTGTTTGGCTGCCACCTTAAGCAGCGTGTTAAGCAATCGCTTCCTTAATGTAACATTTTTACTTCTGACGGGACTCTTAACCTGGACTAACCAACTCCCCTTTGCCCCTTACTCTTCCCTTTTTTGCATGAAGTCATAAAAGTTATGGCAGTTATTTTTTGGCTTGTAAAAAAAAACCCTATTTCTGCAGTTTGAAGATGGAATGTAAAATTTCTGTGATACATGTATATAAAAATATATTTATTGAACCATCCATACACACATATCCATGCTGATTCAATGGAAAAAAAATTAAAGTTTTCTGTAATTTTCTCTGTGGTTAATCCATAGTTGTTGTTATTCAACCAACTTTATACGTACAACTTTTGATGTTTTGCAATTCCCCTATAAAGAAAACTACGTATAATCTGGAAGACATCATTTCACTTCAGACAAGGCTTTATGTCATTCATTCAGGAAGTATTTATTGATATGTGCACTACGGGAGATACAAGGATGTCTCAGACACAGATCCTGCCCGTCGGAGCTTACAGTCTAGGAGGGAGAGAGGACACACACACGGGACGCGCAGTCAGAGCCGTGTCGCAGTGGGATGGGTCTGGCACTGGGTACACAGAAGGCAGGGGTGAGGAGGGGTCAAGGAAGCTGAGAGGCCACCGAAATCACCCAGGTGAGGAGGAGAGATGTGAAAGATGGCTGAGGTAGACTGACAGGACTCAGCTGGACACTGGGTGCGGGCAGTGGGGAGAGGGGAGCAGGCGGCCTGGACATGGGTGGGCAATGGCATGAGCTGAAGGAACGGCCGAGTGGGTCCGTGAGAGGAAATAAACATTGGCACACGAAATCCTCCCGCACTGACACAAGCCCCCCAAGACACACTGGGCGCCGTCAGAAAGAAATGACTCATCACTCAGACCGGGGACAGGAGCGCCTCCAGTGACCGGTGACTTCCTCCCTCCTCTGCCCATCCCTTTCCCAACAATTCTCACCACCATGAAGTGTCCCAGCGCCGAAACCTACTCGGTTAGGCCCTACCTCTAGGCATGCGCCCCTCGGGAAAGTGACAACCAGAGTACACTGATTCACCCGACCACAGCAGTCACCCTGTAGGGCCGCTTGTGCACGGCCCGTGCCTTCCGGTGGGGCCCAGGGGTCAACTCCTCGGTCCTTGTCCTCTAGGAGCCGGCATTCTCATCATGTAGTAGAACAGATGCCGGTCACACTAACTCTGGGTCGAAGTTTTTAGCTAAGAGAAGGCATAAAGTACTCCCAGGAACACATGTTTTCTTAGCAGTCCAGACTGGGACAGACTATCCGACAGGAGGGACAATGTGAAAGGGAAGAGGAGGGGAATGGATTGGTTCCTCACTTCGAATTCTGGCCACATCAACCACCAAATCGAGTTCCCCACTCCTGTTGCAATCTCTTTTCTCTTAGGGGGAAAAAAATTAGTTATTGAACTGGGTCTTCAAAAAAATGACTTGGATGGCAAGGAATCTGCACAGGGGCAAAGCAGGTGCAAGTCCATCTTCAGGGAAGAGAGGCACTTGGAGCCACGGAGTCAGCAATGCTGGCTTACGAGAGGAACCAGAAGTAGTGCAGAACGGCCGGAGCATCGCCTCCACGAAGAATGGGAGAAATCACTGGAAAGGAAGGTTAGGACCCTGAGACTACATGGCACTGCCAGGCACTGAGCAGGGTACATGCCTAAGACCAGATGGCTGCCCCTTAGGAGCTTACAGTTATAACAATACAAGGTGGAAAAAGCACCACAATGTACAGAATGTAAATGCTGACAGATTCAGGAGAAAATTACAGCTGAGTTTCAGCTATTAACACATTAGGATACCCAACAGCTCTCTGACAGCTAGTAGCACACCCGTCCCTGGGGGGCGCTGTCAGCATCCCTAGACAAAGGGCCCTGGTGGCGGTGGGCATGGAGAGCTCTAAGGAGACAGAGAAAACCCAGGAGTGCCAACTGACTAGGCCGAAGGCCCTGGGTGAGCGTGTAAGACGTGGCTCCTTCCTTCCCCCACCTCCCAACCTTCACCAGCTCGGGCTTCCGGGGCCGAACCTCGGGCAGACTAGGCATCTCTCTGAAGGCGCTTCACGTTACTTTTACAAGCCGATCTAGGACTCCGTACTAACACGCAGATTCTCCGCGCCACCTGTATCTTTTGGAAAGTGAAGGGGTTGTACAAATCATTTTAGTCCTTTCTAGCACTGACTTTCTATGATTCAAAGAAGTCTAGGAGCCTCCTGTCCCTTGTGATAATAACAGAATGGAGATTAAGGAAACATTCTATTGTTTCACATTTAAAATTATGATTTTTCCATATAAATCACAAGTGATTCCAAAACCATCAGCTAAGTTCCACCTCCCACTCTTCTTCAACTTCTAACATGTACATAGCTATGTGAATTTATTTTTAACAAGGTATCTTTTACATAATTTACTTAAGTGTGCAATGAATCTTTAAAGAAAGGAAGTCCTTTTCTTCTCCCTACTTCCTCATACCAGCTTCTTGGTAGGTCTTCATTTAAAAGGGCCAAATTAGTATATATATCACACAAACATTTAAGAATTTAAGCCAAACCTAAAATCAAATAGTGACATCAAAGTTTGGGGAAAGTTTCAGCAACCAAAATGGTTAATTATAACAATATTTAAAACTGCTTATATCCAGATTAAATGAAATATGATCGTCCCTGTAGTTACTACCAAAAGTATAAGCAAACTTCCTATTAAGTGGGTTTGTGGGGGCAAAAAAAAAAACAAGCAAGCAAACGAAAAAACTTGTTAAAGAAATTCAATAGTGAATTTTTGGTACACATCCCTTAATTTCCTTTTTTCTTTTCTTTTTTTTTTAAGAAAATAAGACACATTGGACAGACACAAGTCCCTTAGGGAATCTGTGACACCGGCCACACTTCGAAGTACTGAACACGTATGGACTTCTGTGGTTGGCTAGGTTACATGCTATGGAAGTTAACAGTGGAACCGACTTCTAATACTATTGTCTTCTCACAGGGAACTATTGTTAAGAAACAAAAACAAAACAAAACAAACCCACTACCAAGTTCAAGTGAAAATCAGGTAAACTGTCCAAGGTTTTCAAAACAAGTCACATACTCAAAAGGCAAACAACCTTGATTCTACGCCATACACTAGCGAAAATCAAAACTAAAATGGGACAGTGGCTTTAGGCCATCTCTAATCAGCTCTTCATTCATTCAGACCACGATGAGAGACTATTTCATGGAAGCATGAACCACGCAGGCTAAGTTCAGCACCATCCTGAGCTACGTACAGATTCACTAAAAAGAATGTAAATAAAAGTTGTATCTCACATATGCCACCATTTTTCCTTTAGTCTAGTAAGAGTTCACAAGCCTGTCTATGGTCCCCAGAACTTTTATATCCACAGCACACAAATACAAGTCCCAAGTTTTACTGCCTTACAACCAGAAATCCTTCCGTAATTATCTAGAACCGCATGGCCAATTACTTGATCAGCAACTTTAATCTACAACCTCATCCCACACAAGACACTGCTAGGTTGCTAATGTATTCCTTAAGATTTCTAAAACATTTGTGGAAGACTACCTTAAGTGTCCAATGCCCCTTTTTGGTATACTAGGCAGTTAGCTAGAACCTCATGTTCAAATAAATGTTGAAGTCGCTTCTTGCACAAGGTTCAAAATTGCTGAACTAAAAGGAGAAGCCCCTGCAGAGATTCTAAGTAACAAAAAAAAAATACAACTTCAATATAAAAGATATCTTTAGATCAGTAGATTTGACAAATGCAACCATTTACATAAAAGAAATAGGCCGCTCAGCATAAACAATGGTCTACAAATTTAAACCTCATAGAAAGATCATTTCCATATAGATTCTAACAAATGTTTTCTATAAAGTGCCTCATTTCCCACTAACTCATTAAAACCATCAAGGGTTTTCAAATAAACTTGTTCACAAAGGAAAGGACGGAGGAAAAGGACTAGAGGACGGCAACTGTAAGCATGAAGCACAACTGCTACAAACTCACCTGGGTCACGTTCTAACAAAAACTAGTTATCATCCACATCGGATTTCAAGATTGTACTAAATGTATTATTAATCCAGGTAAGAAAATAACCTAAGAACAAAGTCATTATTAGGGTGTTACCAAACAGTCTGCAAGTCAAAAGAAGTCCTATTAAAAAAATAAAATCAATGTTTGCTATATCACTACTCTAAAGGACACGGAGAACAAAAATGCTAACTAACCTGGCTAAGAATGATTTATAGACTCTGGTCTCTTTACTGTAGTAATTTCATGGTCATGTCCTATTAACGTCATTCAAACGGAAACAGGAAGGCCTATTGGTTCTAGAGAAAAAGCATCCGTTTGGGAGGCCAATCTGCTCCTTGCTGCAGGGATGGCTTGGGGACCTAGTCCTGTAACTGATCTGATGCCATTTCTTCTTTATCTATTGCTTTGGGGGAAACTCCCTAGCTCACAGAGTGGTGGAAATTAATTTTCCAACCTAAAACTCAAGTGCAATTCAACTAACGCTACGGCAGTAACCTACTCAAAGTCAGTTTTGGGATTATCCATTTATTACTGCTCCCAGCAATAGCTCAAAAAGTTGAGAACACAGGAATACACAAGTAAAGCCCAACCTCACCATAAAAGAAAAGTATTTTTTTATGTCGCCAGATGTATTCATTTTCAACAGGTCTTAAAAGGCTAAGATGCACACTGAACCAAACCAATCTTGCCCAGTCAGATGCAAGGTAAGTAAACTGGTGAAGGGCATTAAGCTCAGTGGGAAAGAACTATACTCTGGGCCATTCTTACAGATGAAAAACTGTATTTTAAAATCTGAAAGGTTGAATGTGATGAGCGGATGCTGCACACAGAATAATCTCGCCTTGATCTATTTTATTTTACTTTAACTTTCTACCTGTGTGACCACATGTACCTCCTCTATGGTACCATGTTTATTCCATCAGCACAACTGTGAGCAACGACGTCAGGGTTTCTAACAGTGTCAGCCATGGTGCCAAATCACACTCATAAAAAAAGTCCAATGCTAGTCAAAACTCCACACTCACGCAAATTCTAATTAGTCAAAATTACTGAAGCAAACTTGTTTTCTGAGATCATGCAATAACTCCCTGCAACAAGTTACAAGCAGCATCTAGCATACTGCCGCCCGTCCAAAACAATTTTATTAGGTATTTTATTGTAGTTCTATTACAAAATTTTTTAAAACCACACAGTTGGCACAAATGAAGGAAAACGAGATTACTTACAAGAGATGTTACTATAATTCCTGAAGAGAGAACTATTTGCTGATTCATTTACTTTCAAAGCAATGAGTCTTCAACTCCAGCTGCAGTCCCCACCGCCCCGCCCACCATGCATCGCAGGAGGGCTACCCAGGTTTTTGTGTAGATTCGTTTTTTACAGAACACGTGACATCGCTGGCCCCACCCACTGAACGACAGCTGCAGTGTCCCCCGCCACACACCCGGTAATCTCACACATTTCCAAGGTCCTCTAGGAGATAACCGCCCCAAACGGAGCACCGCTGCGTCTGGTTAGTGCCTCTAACCCTCTGAGCAGGAAGAACTCTCATTCTGAAATGTATGCTTCAGTACTCACTTGTGAAAAATGATTTCTAGGTTATCCATAATATGACCTTATATTTACTGCAAAAATAACTCAGGCTAAGTATTTTTTTTTCTTTCCACCCCAAGCTTAATATAAGCTACAGAAGTACAAGCTGAAATTTCTTTTAATTATCACTGGCCTGGGCCAAATTGAGTGGTTACCAAATAACAGTTTAAACTGACCCCCAAAACAGCCACGTGACTCAGTTATATAAAGTTTCTTTATATGAAAGAGATGCTGCCAACTTTCAAATATTTATGGTACTGAGGACTGATAACATCAAATTTCATTTTATTTTAAGACTACACCCTTCAGCAAGCCTAGTTTCCCAGTAACAGATAAACACTCCTGTGCCTACTCACACTACCCTCAGACAGCAGCCCTAAAGATGAACACTGTGAAGAAAATAAATAAGTTACATTTGACAACCTCATTGCCCTTCCATTAGCAATGACAAGATATCACACAAAGGCTTGCTTCACAAGTGTGTAAACAAAACCTTCACCCACCTCACACACAGCACTCAACAAACACCACGCTATGTAAAACGAGCATTACTCTATACTGCCAGGTTAAATTTTCTTCCAGAAATATTTTAATAAAAATTGGCCATTTCCAAAAAGCACCCACTGCATGCCCATCAATAAAAGAGAACCATTAACAAAATAGAAAATTTACCATATGGCTATGATTTAAAGGAAAACAACTAGCAGACACTCAAGCACATCAGCAAAGTCCAATATTAAAATCGCATTCTTTCTTATGGGCTGATTAGAATTCTGAAGATGCCGAAATAAAATGCAAAACTATTTAAGTCAACGGACCTCTACAGAAGCATCTGTCCTCAAAGGCATTCCAGTTTGAGACTCAGTTTCAGAATAAGGCATAACAAGTGAACAGAAGATGTACAGAGTGAAAAGAGGGACTCTACCGTTCCCAACACACTCTGAACCTGGGGGCAGAAACCGATCCAGACTTTTTAAATTAGTCTTCTTTAAAACAACTGCCAGGGCTGGAATCAAAGATAAATAGAAGGCACAACAGTTTTGCTCTAGTTTTGTGTTATTCAGATTCTGGTTTTGGTATTTTGTTTGTTTTTACAAATACAAATTAAACATGAGAAAAAACTCTACTTCAAAAAACCTAACAACTCAAAGAAAAGTGTTATCAGTTGCATTCTAGACATTTAAAACCTATCTCCATTTATCAACAGTGGATTTTAGAATCATTTTGTGATCTTACATTAAAAGAAAAAAATTTCACTAACACCTTTTATTCAGTTTTTAACCACACCAGAGACAATCAAAATTGTCAATTTTTCCAATGGCAGTTTCTCCACAGCAGAAGGTAGTCATGACTCTCCTAAGAAGAAACAATTTCGGTTTTTCCTGCCTTCAAAATGTTTATCAAATCTTGTATTTCTCAAAGGCTTTGAAACACATAGAAAATAAGAAATATCCCAATGAATAAAACATACCAAATGTCAGTAATAAGCAAGACACATTACTTTGGGGAAATGGCTGTTAAAAATAAAAATCCAGTCTATATATGCAAAGTAAAGCAAGGAAATTCAGTCTTTTTTTTTTCTTCTTTTAAAATCCATTTTTCCTAAAATATCATTCCACAAAATTGGAAGTGAAGGACTGAAAGGTGAGGCGAGGGGAGGGGACACACACCATTAACACGAAAAGTAAAATTGTACAAACTGAAGCAGTTTATGAGAGACCAGGGTCATACTGCAAGACACCAAAGGGCGGTCGAAGAAATTCACCGTTCTGCAGGAGTGGACGTTGGCACTGCTGCGTGACCGTCGGCAGAGAGCAATTCATTGCCTGGGAGCAATTGCCCTTCCCACTCCGAATCCCGGCTTCTGCACCATGCCTCCGCGCGGAGGGCCTCTCATTGCACCGCCCAGCCCGCCTCGAGGGCCTCCGGGTCCCCGCAGGCGGTTGTCTCGCCGGTCCCCCTCCCGGGCGGCTCGAGTCTTCTTCTCTTCCACGTTCAGACGGACCTCACCTCTGAACATGATGGGCTATAAGAGTCAAGGTGAGAAGACTTACACAGTGCTGACGGGCTACCAACTATCAAAGTTAAAACAAGGCTATTATATAAAGAACCAGCAGCTTATAAATCACTTTCGCTCTCAGGGTTCAATTTTCATCTCAAACTCAGAACACGTAATGTCCCCATTAACAAGTACATGGAAAGGTGGTCAGGTGTGCAGGGGACGCGGGCTAGTTCAAAAAGGCCATTTCAGCAGCACAACAACACAAGGAATCCCCACTGTACTTATTAAACACTGTTTTCCCACAGAATTCCATAAACAGAATATGAGAACTGCCGCCTTCTCTATGGACTGCAAGGCTCAGAATAAAACCCCATCATCACCTAATGTGAAAAGTTCGTGCTGTACATGTTTATACAAAGTACACACATGTCAAATGCATCACTAACTTCATCTAAATTTAACTTTCACAAAATGCTATTGGCCTTTAAAGAATCTTGAAAAATACTGAAGACAATAAAGAGAATATTATCTTATTGAAAAGAAAAAGAAGATACAAATACAACCACACTAAGTCACTGGCCACCTTTTTCGCCCAACAGAGTAGGAAAAAAGGGTTATTACTCCAGACTCCGACAACCTCGGTACACCCCTCACTGGCACTCACTGGTTTTCTAACTGAAATACTGTTTAAAATCAGTATCTAACAGTACTTACTATGCAGATAAGTGCTCCATATGCTTCACATTTATTATCTCATTTAATTGTCACAGCAACCCTCTGAGGACTGTTGTTATACCTGCTTTACCAACTAGCAGACCAGGGCCAGGGAAGGTGAGGGACTCAGCTCGAGGGTCACAACACCCGTGAGCGATGGAAGAGGGGCGCAAACTGGGCCATCCTGACTGAGGGGGGCGTAAGCTCTGAACCGCTCTGCTACGCTACGGCATGGCAGACACCGTGGTCACCAGGCTAGTGTAAGCTACTTCTGCACTCACAAAGAGTTGACGAAGGGACTCCCACCAATACAATACAGAGAGGAAAAAAAAAATCAAGCTACGTTTAAAGTTACCAAAATACAAAGGAGTGACCTGAAATGTACATGTAGAAGAGTCTTTTTTTGAACTCTAATTTATATTTTAAATTCTGATGAAATATATATTTATACATTTATAAATGTATGTATTTTATTTAACATTTAACATAATATAAATATTTGTCTATGCACACTATACAAATCACTTCACATGCAATTTGAAGTGCTGTTCCAGGCAATGTTCTGGATTAAGCGGGAAAAATAACATTGCATTAAAGCCTGAAAGATGAAGGTGAGAGAGGCTGGGGCTGAGGATGTGCTCAACATCGTGACAGAGGACATCGCTGAGGAGGCACCCCGGGGGCAGAGGCGACCCGAATGGGAAGGTGTCGGAGAATGGGGACCGTTCTCACGGCCCCTCTTGTGAGAACTTCTTCACCTCAAACACTTCTTATGGATAAAGACACCACGGCTTACCCACATTCCTTAAAAGAAACAAGCCCCTTATCTTGGACAATTAACTAAGAAGCCAATGATCAAGTCTGACCTCCTCTGGCCCAGTGGCAGTATCACACTCTGTAAGGACACAAAGAAGTCGAGGCTGCCCCAGACAGGCTGGCCAGCCACTGCACCCACTGCACCCACTGCACGCTCCCTGAGGGGCCCACCCACAAAGCCCACTGGAGATGTCTGGGTTCAGTGTGCTGTGGTTTGGGTGAGAGAAGCCACTGTCCTCTCATTTCTCAGTGTTGTGCAGGAGACACTTCACAAAACTAGTGACTTCAGTGTGCACACCTCACTGGCACTCTGGATAATGCACGCCTGCAGATTAAGGCTCACACCATGTTATGACCACATTAAACTTTGCAGTATAGTTGTAAACACTGTGGAGAACCTCTGGGAAATAATGATCTACAGCATTTCTATTACATGCTTTAAAAATGTGTAGTTTTAGCCCTGGCTGGTGTGGTCCAGCGGATTGAGCACCAGCCTACAAACCAAAGGGTCACTGGTTCAATTCCCCGTCAGGCTACATGACTAGGTTGTGGGCTAGGTCCCTGGTAGTGGGCATCCAAGAGGTAACCACACATGGATGTTTCCCTCCCTCTCTCTTTCCCTCCCTCCCCCTCTCTAAAAATAAATAAATAAATCTTTTAAAAATGTGTAGTTTTAATTTGCAGAGATTGGAAGCAGATTAGTGGTTGCCAGGGGCTGGGTAGTGAGGATATGGGGAGACTGCTGAATGGGGAAGGTGCTCACTACTGGTGGGAATGTGAGTAACGAGGTAGGCAATGGCTGTAAGACAGTCAAGTGTTAACAGACGCCACTGTACTGTTCTAGCCTTCTCCGTGGGGGGCGGGGAGACCGCCTCATAAGTTATAAGAATGTCTAAGCACTGCACTGTATACTTCACAATAAAGAATATCAATGATAATGGGAAAAAGTTTAAAAAGAAACAAAACCACTTTTTTAAAAAAAAAGTAAATAGCCCTGGCCAGTGTGGCTAAGTTGGTGGGAGCATAGTTTAGTAAACTGAAAGGTCTTGGGTTTGATTCCTGGTCAGGGCACATGCCAAGGTTGCGGGTTCGGCTCCCGGTCCAGGCACACCCTATCCCGGTCTGGGGAACCAGATCGACGTTTCTCTCTCACATCAATGTTTTTCTCCCCGTCTCTCCCTCCCTTCCCCTCTCTCTAAAAGTCAATGGGCATGTCCTTTGGTAAGGGTTAAAAAAGAAATCAAAAATAAAATTAAGATGGCTATTTTTATGTGAATTTTACATAAATTTTTTTAAAAGTGAGAAGTTTAAGATCCCACACCAATCTCAGTAAATTAACAATTATTTAACCCTCTGTTCCTCTGTACTACAAGTGCTACAAAAAGTGCCATTTGCTAATGAAAGATGTGAGAGAAGGAAGAGTTCTTTAGGAACTGCACAGTAAAACGAGCCTGATTCTACAAATCCCTCTGTAATCAGACCAACAGTTTTGTTAGTAGAAGTGGCTCCAAGCTGGGTGACTCCAACACCAGACAATGTATAGAATAAAAGAAGTCCCTGATAGTTATAGCCCAGCCAGCAGTTTTATACCAAGACCGCCCAGGGCAAACAGGCTCTTAAATTACCTTAAAGGTAACATTGTATTCCACGTTCTACACCAGAAGCCATCACCAAGAAATGGAATTTGCATAAATCTCAGTGCGCTGGTAACTATTAGTTATTTATTTCTCACCATTCACTCATCGAAAACTAAGTTATTTAGGGCAGGAACTTTGTTGTTCTAAACCCCCGGGCAGTCCTTTTGATACTGATGGCCAAACGGGACAGAACCTGTCGCCCAAACACGCTGGAATAAATTGTGCTTCACAAAGGAGGTGGATGCAAAGAGCCAACACACATGCTTGGTTTTTAAAAAAAAAAATCAACATAAGACACTGCTTACCCTGTTGCTAAGAACCTTTTGAACAGGCTCAGAATCATCGAACACAACGAAGCCAAAGTTGGGTAACTTCCCACCACTGTTGATGCGCAGCTCCACCACATTCCCGTAATCTGCAAGGGAAATACACATTCTCCAGTAACTCACCGGGACAGTTCTTTGAAAGATGACGTGCACACTACCCAATATGACGTGGCTACAGAGCACGTGAAATATGGCCAGTCACTGGCATTATGTGTAAAAAACACACGATTCTAAAAGCTGAGTATAGAAAAATGTATACCGTCCCTTATATAGTTTCACATGTTGAAATGGCAGTTTAAATGATTACATGTGTGACTCATCTTCTAGTTCTACCAGGGCGTGCTGCATTAGATGAACCTGGTGTTTACAACTCATGCACCTACTTTGAAAGAAATCTTTAAGCTCTGACTTATCCACGTCATGAGGCAGATTGCCGATGAAGAGCTGGTGACTGTCGGGGTGTCTCACAGTTCTCCGGGGCTCGACGTCACCTTGCTCACCAGCCTCACGGACTGAAGACAGAACAAAAACAGAAATGAGAGATGAAGACACCTTTCAGTGACTATTCCATTCAACTGCTTTCTTTTTACCATAAATACATGTAATTCCACCAACCCCACAATTTTTTTTAAGGAAGCAAGCATTAAGCACCTCCCCGCCAAAAAACAAGTTCTCACCCCAAACCCCCCAAACTAGGAAGTCACCCTTCTGTGCTCTTACGTGGTCTAGGTCCCCTCTGGGGAGGAATATTTATCCGCTGTTCTCGAACCCTCTGATCCCGCTGAGGCCTCTGCGGTGGAACCTGAGATTCAGGCTTGGACTCCGGGCGAGGCTGAAAAATTTGTAAGTTAACTTTTGTGTAAAAAAAACAAGCAAGCTTCCTTTTCTCTCGTGGTTTTTAATATTTTTAAATATATTTTATTGATTATGCTATTACAGTTGTCTCATTTTTTTCTCCCCTTTATTCCCCTCCGCCCTGCACAGCCCCTCCCTCCCACATTCCTCCCCCCTCCCCACTTCATGTCCATGGGTTGTACATGTAAGGTCTTTGGCTTCTCCATTTCCCATACTATTCTTAACCACCCCCCATCTGTTTTGTAGCTACCATTTATGCTTCTTATTCCCTGTACCTTTCCCTCCATTCTCCCTCCTGCCTCTCCCCACTGATAACCCTCCATGTGATCTCCATTTCTGTGAATCTGTTCCTATTCTAGTATTTGCTTAGTTTGCTTTTGTTTTTTAGGTGTGGTTGTTAATAACTGTGAGTTTGTTGTCATTTTACTATACATATTTTATATCTTTTTTCTTAGATAAGTCCCTTTAACATTTCATAAATTAAAAGCTTGGTGATGATAAACTCCTTTAATTTGACCTTATCTGAGAAGCACTTTATCTACCCTTCCATTCTAAATGAAAGCTTTGCTGGATAGAGCAATCTTGGTTGTAGGTCCTTGCCTTTCATGACTTGGAATACTTCTTTCCAGGCCCTTCTTGCCTGCAAGGTTTCTTTTGAGAAATCAGCTGACAGTCTGATGGACACTCCTTTGTAGATAACTGTCTCCTTTTCTCTTGCTACCTTTAAGATTCTGTCCTTATCTTTACTCTTGGATAATGTAATTATGATGTGCCTTGGTGTGGCTTCCTTAGGTCCAGCTTCTTTGGGGCTGAGCTTCTTGGACTTCCTGGAAGTCTTATTCCCTTTGCCAGATTGGGGAAGTTCTCCTTCATTGTGTTTTCAAGTAAGTTTTCAATTTCTTGCTCTTCCTCTTCTCCTTCTGGCACCCCTATGACCCGGATGTTGCAATGTTTAAAGTTGTCTTGGAGGTTCCTAGTCCTCTCCTCATCTTTCTGAATTCTTGTTTCTTCATTCTGTTCTGGTTGAGTGTTTACTTCTTCCTTCTGCTCCAAACCATTGATTTGAGTCTTGGTTTCCTTCTCGTCACTGTTGGTTCCCTGTACATTTTCCTTTATTTCACTTTTCATAGTCTTCACCTTTTCCTCTATTTTGCGACCATATTCAACCAATTCTGTGAGCATCCTGATTACCAGTGTTTTGAACTCTGCATCTGATAGGTTGGCTATCTCTCTCTGTCGCTTAGTTGTATTTTTTCTGGAGCATTGATCTGTTCTTTCATTTGGGCCATTTTTTTTATCTTGACACACCTGTCACGTAGTGAGGGGCGGAGCCTTACGTGTTCACCAGGGCGGGGAAACCCAGGTCGCTGCACTGTGACACTGTATGTGGGGCAGGGGTTCTAGAGGGAACAATGGCATTTGCTCCAGTCTCTGCCCGATTTCAGTCCCTTCCCCCGCTTCCCACAAGCAAACTGGGCCCTTCTGGTGCTGATTCCCATGTGGGTGGGTTTGTGTCCGTTCTAGGACCCTGTGGGTCTCTCTAACAAACTCTCCTGTGAGGCTGGGAGTTTCTCCCGCTGCTGCCTCAACCCCCACAGGAGTTTTCAGTCAGAGGCTTTGAGGCTTTATTTCCCCATGCTGGGGCCCTGGGTTGTGCGGTCTGTCTCGCTCCCCAGTTGTTTCACCTCGTTTATCTGCATGTCAATGTGGGACCGACCGGTCCACCAGCCTCCACCCCTCCTACCCACAACAGTTCCCACATTGTCTAAACCTCTATGAAACTTCATTACTCAAAATACAAGTAAATTTGTCTTAATACAAGCTCACTGAGTTCTCACCTGGGAAGCTGGGACTTTAACAACATGAGGTGGAATCCCAGTAACTGGAACAGCTCCACTGGGTGGAAGGTTCTTGCTGGTCACAGATGCCCAGGAAAACGTCTAAGGTAACAGAACATCAACACCAGCTGATTACACCGTATGTCAGAACAACGTAAAAGCTATGAGCTCCTGATTTCTTGTACATAACACATGCCTTGCACTTTCATAGGCAGGACAGTTTATAATCCTGACATTCCATCCTCCCCCCACTGTCAAATTCAGCACTAAAATTCCTTAGGACTGCTACGATCCAGGACGAACACTGATCCAGTCACACCAACTGTAGAATTACCTTAAACACCTACCTTTCAATCCATATAAAAAAAATCACTGTTATTTTAAATCCTGTTATTTAACTCTTAATTATCTTCCTTCCAATCTCCACTACCAGGACCCTAACCCAAAATACATGATCTCTCCCCAGAATCCCTACAATAGCCACCTCCCAACTACTACTCACCCATTCTCTATCCAGCCAACTACTTTTCTACCTGTCAGCTAAAAAAATCTGTTTCTTTTCTACTTACTTACTTATTAGCTAAAGGAGAGGCCAAGAACCCTACCCACTTTACAGACAGTTGCCACACCTAGAACAATGCCTACCACAGAGGCACCTGGATGAACTGTCAGATGCGCGCGTGCACGTGCACACACACACACAGTGTTGTAACAACTCTGACCCCATAAATACGGCACTAAAAGATATTCCTTCACAGAGTTTCAAATGTGAAAGTTCTGTGAGTTAGTTAACATCACCCTGATGTGACTTAGGGGTAACTGAAAAGCTTAAACATTTTGAAATCAGGTATTCTAATTAGAAAAGTAGTTCTATTTCAGCAGTATGCTTCTACTCCTATAAAGTTATCCTTAAATACATTTTTTCATAGAAAAAGGCAGGCAAGTCTGTTGTCTCATTATTTTTTGAAGCTACGTAACCACTTGTTTGTTATAAGAAGAACGTAATAATTTGCAACTTAAAAGATGAGGGTTGTTAATAGGCTAATAAAATAGCACCTGACATTTCTGGTCTAAAAAGTATTCAAGTTTCCTCAGAGGGTGAAAAAATGTACTTTTGATCTTATAAAGCAATGTGTATCTTCTTATCTGAGGCATGACTCAATGTGTAAGAAATTTCCCTGAACCACCAATATGGAAATGCACCTACACAAGTCAACCAAGCAATAATAAGGAAGAGAGATTTCAAAAATAAACCGGAAACAGAATAAAAACGCAGACGCGCTGCGCACCCTCAAGTCTTCCTGCGCCGTCGGGGCTATGTCTGCAGGCGCTGGAGAAGAGCTCTTCTGCGCATCCTCGGGAGCGGCCTCCTCCAGCGCTGGCTCACACTTTTCCTCCTGGATCTCAGACACAGGCTCCTGCTCCGGCTCCGGTTCGGGGTCAGGCTCCGGTTCAGCAACAGGTTCCTCCAAATGCTCTTCCAAGTCATTGCTTTAACAGGAAAATTTGAGGAATATTATTCTGCCTCCATTGACTTCACAAGAAATTCCCAAGTATCATTAACTACAGAAACCCAAACCCTCCAAAAGATCTAAGAAACACATGTCTGAGTATGAGCAAATCTTAACTGTAGTTAGATTAGCTCAATGCTCATAAGCAAATGCGTCAAAATGAACCAGACCAGTTTCTCAGTTAGAATCCCAAAACTATTACAATTTACCTCTCACACATCACAAAACTCTAACAAGCTGTGAGGAGGGGGAAGGGCAATGGAACCGTTCGGTGGACACAGTCCCAGTTCTGGAGCTGAGCTGTACAACCCTGTGCAGACAGCCAACACCACCACACAGTGCACTTACAAGTGTTAGGAAGGTAAACTGTGTTATGTGGTTTTACCATAAAAAACCTCTCATAACAAATAGAAGAAAAACAACATTAATTATGATTCAGAATAATTCTTAAACATCCACATAAAATCAGTTTGTTAAAGCCGTAGGTGTTTCCCCCCCTGAAATTCTAATTCAGCACATCTGTGATGTGACAATAAATCATTTCCAACCTGCAAGCCAGGTAGGCACTGTGGTTATTTCATTAGTACACCTTGAGAAACATTTAAAAATATCCTTTAAGTATTGAATGTTAATATTACTAGTATCACATGGGAACAGTTTATTAATTTCTATTCCTATCAAACACATTTCTATTCTAGTTGCAGGTTAAAACACAAAAACAAATACCTAAGATACTGTCATGCATTTACTGTCTGAATTACTTAATGAAATTCTTTACTGCTGCAAATCATGCCTGAATTTCTATCAATTTATGCTTGATCTCTAAATAAGTCCTTGTATACTTTATATCCCCCCCAAAGCACTTAATGCAGTGGCTCGATGTGCTAATTACTCTGTAAGAAATTCCAACTCTTGCCCTGGCTGCTGTGGCTCAGTGGATTGAGTGCCGGGCTGCAAACCAAAGGGCATCAGCTCGACTGGCGGTCAGGACATGTGCCTGGGTTGTGGGCCAGGTCCCCAAGTAGAGGGGCACAGGAGAGGCAACCACACACTGATGTTTGTCTCCCTCTTTCTCCTTCCCTTTCGCCAAAAATATATAAAATCTTTTAAAAACAGAAATCCCAACCCTTTTTCATTTACCACCCAGAAAAAACTAAGCCAAAAAGTAACTGAAGATACTATGTAAGTAGTCCTTATACAGTAGATTATATGAAAGATTATAGATTTTTTAAGCTCAAAGATACCAAAAGTGAAGCCTTCCTATTGGGGAATTATCATTACTTTCTTAGATAAATCTAAGAACACAAGACTGCGCTCCAAGAAAGAGAAAGACCAGACAACCCAACTCTCACGCAGCTCCAGACAGACGAAGTTCTCCTTACCCGACGGGCTGATCGTAGAAAGTTCCAGGATCATCAGGTGCCACCTCAGGTGTCTGCTGTCTTTCTTCAGGTTCCTCTACTTCTTCCTCAGACTCTTAAGTGAGAAAACAGATTTTAAACTAACACCACAATAGAAAGGGCAACAAAACAAGAAAAGCAGATGTACATTCAGTAAAATGATGGCTCAGCCTTTAAGGACAGAATGAAGGTGACTGTACTGTCAGGTCAAGAACATGGACTCTGACATCGCACTGTGAATAATCCAAAACAGGCTCTACCACCTGACTAGCCAGCTATATGATGGCACCAGGCAAATTCTCTGTGCTGCAGCGTCCTAGTCTATTAAATGGGAGCAACTCTACCCAAAGTACCTAACTATAAGGCTGTTGCATTGCACAATAAACATAAAATGCTTAGAATTTTATTGTCTCGCCATACACAAATTGTTCTGAAACAATCATTCACATGGGTCTCTTGTATTTCTACACATCTTGCAATTGAGGCAATGGCTATCCTTTGTTCCAGGCTATCTTTTAAGGACAGTTAACATAGCAAACCACCCCACCTCTGGAGGGAAAATTGTATGTCCCTCCCGAGCCACGTGCAGGCATGCTTACTGCCCATTCTCAAAGATTTGGGTCCCCTAAACTTAAGGTTCCATTCCTGTAATGCACCCTTGTTGCCATGCAGGTATCATTTGGACTTCAATGTCCCATGGAAACCGTGACAAAAAATGCTACTAGTCTTGCTGTAATAACCTGTCTACTTCTGACTTAGGGTTTTATGTGTTCTATCAATTCCCATGAAGCAGACTAACTTATTAGCTTCAACTAGGTTAAAAACTCAGGCCCTTCTTATGTCTTGACAAGCAGTAGGTATTAATGAAGAATATAGACTATAATGGAAACATTCAAGAAACCCATATTCTCTTTGTCAACTGATGCCACCAAAAAAATTTAGGCAAGTAACTTACCCTCCTGAGGCTCAGTGACAAAGCCACCGAAGACCTCATCTTGGTACCTGAAGATATCATTGTGGACGTAGAACTTATTTGCAACAGAGCCCTGCAATGCCAACAAAAAGTTTTTACTATTCAGCAGACTTTTAACAAGCCAAATCACCCTACACCAGTGGTTCTCAACTGAAGGTATTATTGACCCCCACTCCCCAGGAGCCACTTGGAAATATCTGGGGGCATTTCAGTTTTCTCAAAGGGCAATGCAGCAACTGGCGACTACTGAGTAGAGGGCAGGGGTGCTGCTAAGCATCCTCCAATGCACAGGACCGCCAGTCACAACAAAGACTTAACTCAGCCCAAAAATTAACACTGCCAAGGCCAAAAAGCCTGCTCCACATTATGGCTGTTAACAACTACACTCAAATACATGGCTTGCTTTAAATACTACCAGATGGATACCCAAAAATCAACAAAACTTTATGTAAATTCCACAGCCACACCTCACAGCATTTCTTGACCAATAAATACCCACTGCCAAATGTGAGAGCTTTCAACTCCCTAAATCTGTACCCAAGACTACTGATTCAAGCACTCAAGGGTATGAAAAGGTTTGCATACACCAAATCAAGACACTCTTGAGTCTAAATCCAAATATGTCAACTACTAGTTGGTTATTCAACTTCTAAGGCTGTTTCCTAATCTGTAAAGAGAAATACCACCCTATTCCGCAGAGCTCTGAGTATTAAATGAAATAGTTTGTGTAACAAAGCACTATACATACTAAGGTAATGTTAGATTCTTACTCTTTCATATCCCACACTGTCCCGTGCATATTTAGAAGTCCATCAACAGCTTTACACTGCAGATAACCTAAGCCTTCCTCTAAAAATCAAAACTAAAGTGACTTCATGTAATTTTTCAAAGACAATTCGGTTATTTTATATTCAAACAGTAAACTGACAGGGGTTTTTGATTCACGATCCTGAACAGAAAATTATCTTAAGAGTAATGCTTGAGAAAACATTTAATTAGCAAGTCCTAACTGAACCACCTCCACATGCTTATGTGCACAGGCCACCTGCCCTGGCTCAGTCCGGACCTACTGGGAAAACAGTGCACGTGCGGTTATTCCACATAAACTCATGGTCCCTCCACGATGAGCATGGTACCTAAAAAGAACCAGTGCTCCTTGAAGAAAACAGCTGATTCCAAGGCTGGGGCTGGAGCAGAGACAGTGCTAGGTGAGCCTGAAACACCCTGTGCCACGAAGTTACAAGTGCCCACATATGTTCATGTACACACACACAGAAGCCAGCTTAAAGAGGTTCACACTTAGCACATCTGGAACATTTTAGATATCAATTAAAGTGAGCAATGCATTAAACCCATTCAATAAACCAAGACTCCATGAGTGATAACAGAAAAAAGGCAAAGTTCTTCACAGCAGAATACCACCTAATAAACACAGACTGATGGAATAAGATAATCATCATTTGTAATCATCAGAGTAGCAGTTGGTTCCAGCACGAATCATCAATTAATGCAAAAACTAGTACCTAAGTTTGATGAAGAAGAGGGTATTTTCAGTCTCAAACAACCACCCACAATTTACTTACTAATGAGAAAAGCACAAACAGTAACTTCACAGTGGCAAAATCTGTTGACCATCACCTTAACTCAGTAATCAAAGTTAACATCAACGATGGTAAAGTCTGGCCAGCTGGCTCAGCTGGTGAGAGCACTGTCCGGATAATCCACAGTTGCAGGTTCAATCCCCAACCAGGGCACACACAAGAAACCAATGAATGTGTAAATAAGTGGAACAACAAAGCAATGTTTATCTCCCTCTCACTCTCTCTCAAATCGAATCAATAAATAAACCTTAAAAAAAAAAAAAAGACTAAATGAATCAAGAGCCTCCCTAACATGAAGCACTAAGACATGCAGGCGCGTAACCTAAACCTGACCACAAGTACCAGGCGACCCACACTGAGGCATTCTACAGTGTAACTGGATCAAGCTCTTTCAAAATACCAATGCCACAAGGAACAGGAGATTAAATAACTGATGCAGACAAAAGGAGAGTGAAGAGACATCATGGCCACACACAATGTGTAACCCTAGACTCAACCACGGGCCAGGGCAGGGCTTACTGTAAAGGACGTTATTGGGAAGAGGACCAAAATTTAAACATGGACCTCGGACTGGTAACTGTGCTACATCAACACTTCACGAATCTGCACTGCAGTGTGGAAGAGAATGCCTTGGTCTCAGAAAATGCTCAAGTTCTGGAGGATGACTAGGCATGGTATCTCCAACTCACTCTCAAGTGGTTCAGAATTTAAAATGAAATAGAAGACTCTTTAAAATAGAAAAATTATAAACCTGTGGACAAGTGTTGACAGTGACTCCAGGTAAAGAGTATGTGGGAGTTATTGTATTATTTTTACAACTTTTTCTATAAATTTGAAACTTCAAAATGAATCGTTTTTAAAGAGGTGTTTCTCTTCTCATACCTCAGGAGCAAGGACAAACGTCTGCATGAACCTTCTCAAAGCCTGATTGTTGTTGGAGAGCAACCCCATCACCTGGACCACCACGCCGTCATTCAGAGTGGCGTGGGCATCGACGTGGCGGATCTTAGTGTGGCAGTTGGTGAAGTTCTGGGACATCACTTTCCTATGGATTTCCTGAGGGATGGAGGAACAGGTTAATGCCTCACACTGTGCGCAATCTCCAACAACAAAAACTTCCCGACACAACACAAGTAAAGAGAATTTGCGTGTTTAATCACAAACCACACACACCCCATTCTGATCTATCTTTGTACAGAGAGTTTATCTGAGCCAAACTGATGAATATGCCAGGGAGCAAGAAGCCTTCGGTGTATACATCATACAGAATGAACAAATGCGACATCATAAGCGTTCAGTAACTGTATGAACCAAAGTTACCAAACACCTAAATTTCTACACAGGTGAGAAAACTGATCTTTAAATACCAGCACATCTGTTAAGCATGCATCTACCTCAGCTTCAGGGTCATTTTCTAGTTGCCCAGCAGCCCGCACGAAGCCCGGTATGCTTACTTTCTGTCCGTAGACTGCGTCTGCAGGCTTCCCATTCGAATCCAGGCCCCCATGGACGTAAGAAGAGTTCTTTCCATAAAATCTGTGAAACAGAAATGTAATTTACTTGTCACCCCCAAGCACTCTAAGACCAGGTGTTTCTTTTTCACGTTTGGCACCTAACTGCCTCAACGGCAGGCTCTTGGAAGCAGGAGTGTGCATTCTATTTCCTCTTTGTACGCAACCACAGAGTCGCCCCGAGCACCAGTGAGCACTGCTGGACGGGGACGGGTTTGGTCAGGGAGGCAGAACACTTCTTCTATAAGTCTGCAGGGGTCTGGGGCAGGATGATCATGGCGGGAAGGACCGCGTAAGCAAGTTCGCGTCAGGAAGGCCGCATGAAATAAAACCAAAGTTCCTGTTTTCAATCACAAAGAAAACAGGCGGGTTTGACATGAGAACATCTGTACTCTCCACGGACTTGGAGAGTCCTTCTGGACCTAAGAATAAACGTGAGAAATTCCCATTAAAACCCAGTAAACTCACCACGCAGGTGGGTTTTAGGAGTTGTTTTTAATAATTTTTGCTGGTGCATTACAGGCTATAATTCCCATACCTTTCACTTTTCTACTCAACTGCTTGTTTTCATTATAATTCTATCCTGGATCAGGAAAGCCAATGCAGGCTTAACCACACGACCACACTACAAGGATTTGATATCTGGGTTCCAAATAAACAATTTCTCCCAAGTAAGGCCATACGTGCCATCCTACACCCTGACTCCGCCTCCCCCAGCCTCCCAAAAGGGGGAAGCTCTGGGCCCACAAGACCCCAAGTACATCTTTATTTGTTGAAGTTATTAAAAGGCTGCACGTTAGCCAATGAAATTGGTTCACTACTGGCTGAGCTACTTTTCATTATATCTAAGATGTACCTCAGAGATGAAATCTGGGAACCAAAATGCCTTAGAATCAATTAACAGCAATGCTAACATATGAATATACCGTATTCTGCCATGCATAATGCATACCCAATGTTTTTGGCCCAAACTTTTAGGAAAATCTTTCATTTTCATTTTTTAATTCAATTTTTTATTTATTTACATTTAAAAACAAAACTGGTGATCATATTCCAGGGCATTACTTTGCATACAGATATCGTTATTGCTTTCTAGAGTTACACTTTTAATGCATGAGCATAAATAAAAGAATTAAAAACATTTCTGTAGACATGGAATTAGTACTACCCATGTATAATGTGCAAGTTATTTTTTCCCTCAAAAATCTGGGCAAAAAAAGTGTGCATTATACACCACAAAATACAGTACTTGGTTAGTTTCTTCCAACCCCAGCTCCTTTTTACATTCAAATTTACCTAGCTTCTACGGGCACAGAATAAAACTTTGACCTAAAACACAACAAAAAGGAAAAAAAAGTTTGGAGACTTTTTCTAGCAGTAACAGTTACACGAATACCAGCAAAATTTTTAACTCCTTAACATCTATCTTTATCTGCAAAATGAGGTTAACTCTCCCAGAATGCTTTACTAAAATGTTTTAGAAAAGATCAAAAGGAAATAGGTGAAAGTATTTTGGAAATTGTAAAGTCTTAAAAAGAGAGAATGAGATTGTCCACTTTCACAGGAAGGACTCAGAGATGATTTGTAAGGAAACCCTCCCACACTGCTGGTGGGGATGCAGAAGTGGTGCAGCCACTTTGGAAACCGTGTGAATTCTCAGAAAATTAAGAACAGACCCACCATACAACCCAGCAAGTTGAAAATACTTATATGTAAAGATATATATAGATACCCCTAAATTCACTGCAGCATTATTCACAATAGCCAAGACACAGAAACTACCTAAGTGTCCTTTGGTGGATGACTGAATACAGAAGAGGTGGTACATATATACAATTCAATACTACTCAGCCATAAAAAAGATAAAATGTTGCCACTTAAAACGACATGGACAGGTCTTGAGAGTGTCATCCTAGGTGAAGTAAGTCAGACGGAAAAGGACAAGAAGACAAGAACCACGACTTCACGCATATGTAGGATATATAAACCAAATAACAAACTCATAAAAGCAAACGTAATGCTGGTTACCAGAGGGTATGGGTGGGGAGGAGGATGGCAGAGGGGGTCAAACCCATAGCAGCAGAGGAGACTCTGGGTGCCGAGCACACAACGGAGTGCACAGGTGTTGCGTCACAACGCTGTACACCTGACAGTTACATAATGTCGTTATACAACATGACCCCAACAAATTTAATTTTAAAAAACTGAATACAGTAAAAGATATTTATAAATTATCTTTTGCATCTAATAATCATGTGTTATCCAATATGTAAGCTTGGTCCAAGTATAGAGGAAAAATAGTTCTTGTCCAGCAAACACACATTTTGGAATTTCTAAGAATTTTAACAAGTCCATATACACGTAAGAGTTATGTATAATGAACCACTGTTTATAATGGGAAATAATGAAAGCTATTCATCAGGGGATTCTCTGTGGATATTAAAATTACTGTGAAACTTGTATAATCCATGTAAAAAGACCCCAGATTATCAAATAAGCTAAAAGCTAGTACATTAAAATGTTTACATGCACACAGAAAAAGTTTTAGTAACTTTTAAACTAAAACTTTTTAAAACTGTGTAACTTTTAGTAACTTAAGTCCAATTCTTAAGTTTTATCTGTATATTCCATTAAAATGATACCATTTTAACCATAATTCACTGGCACGTATACAAAGCACCGCTATGCAGCAACCCTGCCAGGGGCGTGAGGAATGAGGCTCTGGAGGAGACGCGCCCACGTGCGAGGAAGCAGCCGCTGAGGGCGCAGGGGGGCCGCGTGCACCTGTGCAGCATGTCCGGGGCCTGGTTCAGCAGCGTGTAGTACTGTCTCACGAACTCCCGCCCGACCAGCAGGGGACTAGGCTTCTCCATAACCATTGCTTTGGTCAATTCAACCTGGAAAAGAAGTTAAATATGTTCAGCCAGAAAGACCAAGTATTACACAAAGGAAAAAAATGGGGAGAAGGTAACCATTTAGCTAAAACCAAATCCAAGTAACACTAGATCACTTCAGAAATTCCTGGTTTTAAAAAGAAATTATTACTATAAAAAGAAAACCCACAGACCAGGTGGGACTTTATACATTCAAATTTATTGCCATCAGCTAAACACTGGGGGGGAAAAGAAACACTACGAAGAATTCATCATTATTCCTGACACTCCTTTTCTGACACTAAATATGAGAACCTCACAGGCACGTATTTCCAGCACGCAACCTGTCCCAGTTTTCTTCAGAATGCTCCAGAGGTAAGAGCGCTAACACTCAAGGGTGACAGAGTCGAACAGTAACTCGAGCTTAGGCATACAGGCACACACGATCACATTTCTAGTCAAACTAGAAGAAACATTTGGTGTCTTTAGAAATAAAACCACAAGAACTGGAAGTTTTAAATGTTTTATTCATACTATAGTGGGACCAAAAATAATATGAAAATAATATGGGTAGAAGTTAACAAACAAAATGATTTTCACAACAAAACCATCGCTGCCATGCCACAGTTATCACGACAATTTAAAGTTAGTGACTTTGAGTGTTAAGAAAGGCACCAGAAAGATACTAAGTCCTCAATTATTGTCAGTTACTACTTTGAAAGAAACTTTTTAAAGCTATGATTTTGTAACCACTCCCCTATGCACCTGAAACTAATGCAAAATAATATTAATGTAAATTGTTTTTTTTTCAAATGAGCATTCCTTTTTCCACAAAGATTTTATTTATTTATTTTCAGGGAGAGGGGAAGGGAAGGAGAAAGAGAGGGAGAGAAACATCAATGTGTGGTTGCCTTTCATGCACCCCCTACTGAGGACCTGGCCCACAACCCAGGCTTGTGCCCTGACTGGCAATCAAACCATGACCCCTTGGTTTGCAGGCCCTCACTCAATCCACTGAGCTACACCAGCCAGGGCTATTAATGTAAATTGTAATTGAAAAAATAAAATTTTTTAAAAAATTTCAAACAAAAAAAAACTTTGAAATGACATTTGGCATGAGATAATCTCAATTTTTCATTTAAGTAGATAAAATTATCTTCAATTTAAAAGCAAACAGAGCAATATATACAGATTAATTACAGTATAAAAAAGGAGACAAATTTTATTTCCATTTTCTTAAAAGGACGGGCAAAGTAAATTGAATCTGGCTGGACATTTCCTGCACAAGCAATTTGTGGAGGTATGTTTATCTTCATTAAGTGCATTTACTCATTATTCTTAAATGTCTGTCCCACTTACTACTTGTTTCACCCAAATCTAAGAAATTAGTTGAAGAGCTATTCATCATTTTCCCCAAATTGCAGCCACCGTGGAATAGCTTCCCAGCCACACTCGAGATCAGTGTGCCTGCAGGCATGGTCATGAGGATATCAGTGATGAGAATTTAGATCCTAACTGGTACGCTGATATACTTAAAGTAGACTAACCTGAGGCAGAATGAGAAATTGCTGTATTCCGCCCCTACCCCCAGCTCTTGGTCCAAAAAAGATCATTTCAGATGTTCTTACTGATCCTAAATTCTTCAAAACTTCAAGATTACAGCTGAACATTAAAGGTTCTTAATAGTCATCTAGCCTGTGATTTTTTTACATTTGATTTATTGGGGTTACTCTGGTTAACAAACGTATACAGGTTTCGGGTGCGCAGTTCTACAACACGTCATCTCTCCACTGGACTGTGTGTTCACCACCCCAAGTCGAGTCTCCGTCCATCACCAATTATCCCCCCGCCCCTCCTCCACCTCCCCGCATCCCACCACCCCCCAGTAACTACCACACTGCTGCCCGTGTCCCTGAGTTCTACCTATGAGTGTGTGTCTATTTTGCTTCTTAGTTCATTTTGTTCATTAGAGGCCACATGAGTGAAATCACATGGTACTCGTCCTCCTCTGATTTTGCCTGGGGTTTCTGAGTTTTAAGATTGCCCACTACTTAAACCAGGGCAGCCACACCTTTTGTATATTCAAGTTCCCATATAAAGTTTCCTTTTTAAAAAAAATTACTCTTGTTTATGCTATTTCAGTTGTCTCAATTTTCCCCCTTTGCCCTCCTCCGCCCGGCCCACCCCGGCTCCCACTGTCTTTCCTCACAGCACTGTCGGGTCCACGTCCACGGCTCGTTCACATGCTCGAATTTTCCTTTCTTCAAAGAGTTCAGCTACTACTCTACGCAAAAATCACTAACATCTGACCCAACCCCAGTTAAAAGGAAAAATCCAATGTGGTTCCATGACACCCGCAGATCTCGCAATGAATTTCAAAAATGGAAAACCGGTTTCCCAATTCCACAGAACCTGGTCAGGTTAATATCACTTTTATTCCATTTAGCTGTATTTACGGTTTTTTCTAATATACTGAGGCTGAACAGAGAATCTTGCTTCCCTGTCTGATCCAGAGCAGACAAATGGATCCACAATATGAAGCAATGTGAAGGGACCCCCCCTCCCCGACAGGACAGACGCACCGACCAGGGCGCACTGAGTAGACCCCTGTCCTTCCACCCTGACTGCACGCACTCCTCCTCGGCGGCGGCATCTGCGCCCATTCCCCAGCCGGCACCACTGACGTCGGCACCACTGCCCTCAGTGACGTCACCCGAACGTCACCCTTTACCACTCACTGCCAGGCAGTGTCCTTGTGCTGTAAATTTCTAAGTAGCATGTTATCAAATACTCTCTCTCACAACCAATCTTCCTAGGCAAACATGATGAAAACCCTTTAGGTTGTGTATCGAAGGTAAGAAAAATTAAAACCTACAGACCACTTCTAGAATCCCTCTTTTCCCTTTCTTTTGAAATTGCCCAGATAATTCAAATGAAAAGAATTTTAAAAGCTCATTCTTAGTTTGATCACACCATTATCATCACTATTTTATCTCAGGGTCACTGCTATAAAGCCAACTAAGTGAAGTTAAACATTTATATGCTAAATTTACCATATCATCTGTATATTTTCCTTAACTGCTATAATTGTGAAGCTTGTCAGAGAAATCCGTATCATTCACCAAGTTTCCAAACATTAGTTTTCTTTATTACTTTAACATAATTGAATAAATAGTTTGGAAACTAGGTTCGCCGTGATCATTTCTGAATTTCCCAAACAGATGGTACTTTATTTGGGCTTGAAATTTTCAAGTCCAGGAGCATGCAATATAGCTTCGTTGAAACAAAGTTGCCAGTTTTACCGCCAGTCACTGGGGCTGCTCCAGCGCCTGTGCAGCCCCCGAGGCGTCTGTCCCCACTGCCAGCCCTGGGCGCTCCCACTACAACGGAAGCTCGGGCCTGTGAAGTCCCCCTTCCAGCTCTTCTGTACTAAACACTGACCAATGCGCGCAAGGGAAATGATTGCGGTATTTAAAAAATAACATTCCTGTCAACTATTTTGCGATGAAACTGGGAAAAACAGAAAAATAATACTCCATGTGACTGAATATATATGGCAGTTTAGCAAAAAGGAACTATACTGCTTCCCTGTTTAAAAAAACAAAACAAGCCCTGGCTGGCGTAGCTCAGTGGATTGAGCGTGGGCTGCGAACCAAAGTGTTGCAGGTTCAATTCCCAGACAGGGCACATGACTGGGTTGCAGGCCATGACCCCCAGCAACCGCACATTGATGTTTCTCTCTCTATGTTTCTCTCTCTCTCTCTCTCCTTCCCTTCCCTCTCTAAAAATAAAAAAAATAAATAAAAAATAAAATAAATAAATAAATAAACAAACAAACCAAACAAAAAGAGGCTGATTCCAAAATTTAAAAAGCCAAAGGCTCCACGAATTCTACATTAGTTAAGAAGAATGAAAGTTTTGTCCTAAATGTTGTATTTCTTGAGAGTTGAGTCATTTTGTACAGGAACTTTCTAGTCCTGATACTAACAGTCCCTGACATACGAGAGGAAATAAGTTTTGTCTCAGGAGGTTAAAATTTCATACAAGCCAAATGAACTTCTGACCACCCACATGTCAGCCAAATGGCCCGGGGCCTGCCGTTCGGGCCAGACAGCAGGCAGGACGCGGCCACTGGACAGAGAAGGGAGGCGGCAGGGCAGGCTACAGTGCGGAGTGAGATGTACCCACTGACCGGACCACCGAGGCCGGTCATCGCGGGAAAAATGCAGGTACTGGGGCAGCTGCCTGCGCACAAGTGAGAAACTGTCTGTAATCTTGTTTGTAAATTCTGCCTCAAAAATTTTAAATAAAACATGCTTCCACGCTTTTTATAAAGTCTGAAGACACCATAAAATGTACCAACATAATTAAAATCACCGAACTACCCGAACTACCCGACAGCACCAGTCACTACAAAACAGAGAGGGAAGTTCCTGGGTGATCTGAGACCACACACTGCAGGTCTGGTGAGTGTGCTCGCCTATTTAATAACCACTCTCAGTAAAAAAAGAAAATATTGGCAATTTGAGCCCAACAGACCTGGGTCTAAGTGGACAGACTCCATCCTAATTAGAAAAACCTTATTTGGTAAATCATCTCTCTGAAACCTTCATCTTCATTTCTGGCCCAGACCTAAAAAACAAACCACAAGGAATACGTGAACTAATGTCACACCTCCTAAGAATAAATCTTTAACCTCACCTCTCGTTGGTCAGAACTCTCACCCCTATCAAGTCTAAAATAATGAAAGTAAGCAAATGCAGAAGGCGTCATCTCAGCAATGCTAGTGTCTTGCCACCAGCTACTGATGCACTGTGACAATGATGCATCTATGAACACCCATGGAAACCCATGTTATAAAGTTCCAAAACATCTCCCTCATTTACTAACACTTCTGGAACACGGTCCATCTAAAAGAGGTTTTACAAATTCACACACCTGTGGAGTCTGGCTGTTTCCGATGTAACAGCACATGCCGATGGACGCACTGGTGGTCAGACTATGAAGCACGCAAACACAAAACT